CACTCGGACGAATTGACCGACCCGTTCCCCGACCAAGCAACATTAGCCAAGGAGTCCAGTACAGTGCTCAATCAATTGCTGGTGAGCGACCCGGCCGTGGATATCGAGCGCGAACAGGTACGGCAGGGAGGCGCGTCGATATCGCCATCGACCGAGGATGCGCCTACGTCCGGTCTGGCTCTGGTGGGAAGCGATGGGGTGGATGATGGAGGTCGCGGTGGACTGCGCAGTCGCCACGACTACAACGAGAACGCGGCAAAGCGCAAGGAGACGACATTTGGGCAGTACATTCTGGGTCAGACTCTGGGAGAGGGTGAGTTTGGAAAAGTCAAATTGGGCTGGAAGAGAGACGGAACTATCCAGGTTGCGATCAAGCTCATCCGGAGGGAATCTCTGGGGTCAAACCCCAGTCGGTTGCCCAAGATTTATCGCGAGATCTCGATCCTGCGCGATCTTTCCCACCCGAATATCGTCCGGCTCCACGAGATGGTCGAGACGGATCGCCATATCGGTATTATCATGGAGTATGCTTCCGGAGGCGAGCTATTCGACCACATCTTGAACAACCGATACCTCAAGGATAATGCAGCCCGGCGCCTCTTCGCGCAATTGGTCTCCGGCGTCGGCTATTTGCACAAAAAAGGAATTGTACACCGTGATTTGAAGCTGGAGAATCTTTTGCTCGACCGCAATCGAAACATCATCATCACCGACTTCGGGTTTGCCAACACTTTTGATCCTGTCGACGAGCTTGGTGAGGAGATCGAGTACAACCTGACCAACAAAGATTTTGTGAAGAGGATGCGCTTGGACAAGCCAAACGCAAAAGGTCTTCGACGAGGTGATCTGATGCAGACTAGCTGTGGCAGTCCTTGCTACGCGGCTCCGGAGCTGGTAGTCAGTGACTCGCTTTATACTGGGCGCAAGGTCGACGTTTGGAGCTGCGGTGTGATCTTGGTGAGTAGTCTTGTCCGCCTTTCGTGCAACTCGCACATCTGCCTCATGTCTGCCATACTGACTTGGCCGTATATAGTATGCCATGCTGGCCGGCTACCTACCGTTCGACGACGACCCGGCGAATCCGGACGGTGACAACATCAACTTGCTTTACAAATACATAGTTACAACTCCTTTGACGTTCCCTGAATATGTGACCCCCCACGCACGCGATCTGCTGAGGAGGATTTTGGTTCCTGACCCGCGGAAACGAGCCGACCTTTTTGAGGTTGCCCGCCACAGCTGGCTAAGCGAGTACTCACATGTTGTGTCACACATCACCAGCAGCACAACCAAGGTCGCCGACATCGCCACCACTACGGTGCCTTCAGGTAAGACATTGTGCTCCCAAACCACGGGCGCAGCCAACTGATTTCTCTTCGCAGCCGAGCCCCACAAGGAAGTCCCGTTACTGGCACGGAGTGCATCCGTCAGAGAGCCACCCAAAGCATACCAAAATACAGCCCCGCCTGTGGGAGGATTGATTCATCACGCCGGAGACGTCTCGCAGGAGCAGGCCACCGAAAAGGCGAAGAGTTCCCGAGACACCAAGCGGCGAACTGTCCAGGTCGAATACGTTGCCCCCCAGTCTCAAACGGTAAGGGGCGAACAGTTCACTGGTACGGAGCACGCACCCTCGGGGCCTTCTGGAGCATTCGAACCTTCAGCACGGAGAGCGAGATCAGGGAGCCGAGGTGGACCTGTCGATATACCGGCAAGCACATCGCATCAAAATATGGCTGGGGAATCTAGCGCACGGATTGGAGACTACAAGGCGGCCGCTGGTTCGGCGCCGGCCCCGGTATCTGGGCACCTACCTCGCTCGACATCAGATACTGCAGCGCTTACGGGGCCGATGCCGACATCGGCCACTCATGCTACGCGCCCCACGACTGGCGGGTCAATGGCCTCGTTCAACGCGGGCCGTTTGCCATCAAGGGGATCGTATGGGCAGCCTGTGGCACCAACTGTGGCAGCGACCAATGCCCAGGGCCGGCTGGCACAGCCAAAAAGCCGGCAGTTCAGTATTTCTGCTCCCATGCCACATGATAGTTCACAGCAGTCGATTGGCCAACCCAGCACGCAGCACCTTCCGCCCAAATTCAATACGACACCCCGGCAAGAGCCGCCTAAGGGTCACAAGAGATCGAACACCGTGTCCAGCATTGGCGAGAGGCTCTTTGGTCGCTCTGGATCCATCTTTGGCGGCCGCGGAGGGCAAGCCAGTGGCTCGCGCCAGCGCAATGGCAAGCGTTATCCTCCCACTAGCATGAAGGAGCCGTACGGAGGAGACGACACGCGGATGTCGATGGACTCGCGACGCTCGATGCAATATGGCTATAATCGCAAGGCGAGCGAAACCGGTGCTGAAAACCGGCCCCGGAGGTTTTCGCTCCTTCCGCCATCCTTCTCGTTGAAAGGCTTCTCCTCCAGCCGATCACAAACTCCGGACGAAGAATCGCAAACGGATCGTTCCACTGAGAATCGTCTAGAGCAGCCCCCGTCTACTGGCGCAATTCGATCACGTGCGCGTGCTACCAGTTACGGAACGCAGGATGCGATCGCCATGGCGACGGATGGTGCACCAGGGGACGAGATCCTCACTCAGGATGAACCTATTAATTATCAGGCCCGGATTGACCAGCAGTTTGCGATCTTGCACTCCAACCAATCTGGCCTATACCAGCCCACTTCGTACAGTGCAGCATCGGCGGAGCAGGTCTACCCGAATGAAAATGATCACTATTACCGAAACCAAAGCGCCAACCACTCAACGCCTAACTACTACGATGATTCCACGGGGACCTTCGATAAAGGATCTCAACCGTCAATGCAGGCGGGTCGACCTGGGCGGGGTCCGGGCGTCTTGCCTAAGAACCATCGCAAGTTTGCAGACGCGTATGAGTACGAGCGCGACTTGGCCCACCGCCCCGGTAGCTCTGGCGCAGCCCGAAAAGTGATGGACTTCTTCCGTCGCCGAGCCAAGTCCCGGGCCGGTGATGACCGGTAGAGTCGAAGTCTACATTATTCTAATTGTCTAAAGATTTAATTCTCAACCTTTCTGATCGACTGACGCATCAGACGATCTTCTATTAATCGCCAATCAGTCGCCAAAGTTGGTCACCGTGGTAGAAGAACTAAGAACGACGGGCAATTCGAGCTTTCGGGCTTGCTTCTTGCGATGCAGGGATTGAACGTTATGAACTAGTCCAGGAGGCCCCCAAAAAGGCGTTGTGACATCCACGCCCACACCCAAGGATCTCACCAAAGCTGGCCGAACCGACGGATCGAGACGTGTCTCGGTCAAATGCGTTCTATCTTGGAGAGAAGGCTCGAGTGCGACTAGGCTCTTGGATTCCAGCATTGACCCAGCAAGAGCGGTTATTTGGATACCCCGTGATACCCACGCAGCATTCGTCTCTTCTGTTGCTTGCAGCCATCGGTTTTTCTACATATTGTACCAGCCCCGTTTGTTCCCGCATACATATTGTTTTATTTCCCTTTTGGTAGTTTCCTTTGTGCCCATTATCCCCTTATTTCCTTTGTTCAAATTCTTTGTTTCTCTTTCCCTGTTACTATAGTCCTGTTTGTAAATTGATCCTTTTCACCGTTCAGCCCTTTCTGATCTGTTTATTCGATTCTCCGTGGCGGTGTGGCTCTGTTGGTGTACTCCGGCCCGTTCTCCATACCTATTTACATTTCCAGACCCTTATTTGGAAATAATTTAATATCGCCTCTTACCTTCTACCGTTCCTCGGAGATTGACTCTGTTGTGCTCTGAACCATGTTTGCTCTTCGACTTGGTTATCAGTCTGTCGAACTCTGGCCGGTGCACATTAGCGACGTTCTGTTGATTGCCATTCGGATGATTCTACTGTGTGTGTATATTTTCGATGGGTCCACCGTGCATGCCTGCATTTATGGGTGAGTGGGTGACTGTATGCCTGAGTTGAATGTACCCACCATCCAGCCCACGTCGTCTCCCCCCACCAAGAAATAAACATTTGAATACCATCAGCTACTGTTGCTGCTGCTTGGAGATCAGTTCAGATCGGCATAGCAGCCCTACGTGTCGTGCAGTACGTTGGGGTAGCTGTGGCTGTAGAATGGCCTTGGGTTCCTCTTTCCTTCCATGAGCTGTCAAGTTTTGTGGATAGCAGGGACTGGTGGATGTCATGTCGAGTCATGCCATGTTTTAGGATAAGGTAACCAGCCTCGCCAAAGTATATGCGCATTCAGCCTCGATGGGCTGCCGATGGCTTCCTATTCTGCTCCCGGCCTTCTTCGTCACTGGAATGGAATAGAAAATGTGGTCAAAAGTTCTGGTTCCTGGCGTGCCTGTGGCTGTCTGCGCCAACGCTTTGCATGGTGGGGATATGGTGCACCTCTGGCGTAGTAGGGTGGAAGCCTGGGAATGAACATAGTACGTACGTATGTAGAGAGGGCCTACCTACCTACCTACGCAAACAGTATCTATTGTGCTGTTGTGTCGAGTAGGGTGGTTTGCGGTTTAGAGGTTCATTGGATCTTTGTGGACGGAGGTGACTGGGTTCGGCCAGGTTCGGGGTGGTGGTCTACTGTAGGTATGACTTGCTGGTGTTGGTGTTGATCTTGATCTTGATGTTGATAGGTGGTTACTACGTGCGGACGAGTAAGCTTACTTCCTGCAGGTGCTGGGTTCCAATTTACGACTGCAGTGTTGGATGATGATCTGCTATTGGGGCTGTGTGTTGGTTGGTTGGTTGGTTGGTTGGTTGATTGGTTGGTAGAGGTACCTACCTATGGCTCAGCTGAGCTGAAAACACTGTACTGCGTGTGCATGGGGCGGTGCAAGGAGGAAGATGGCTGATGTATTGAGATCATTGAGATTCAGGAGATGGTTGGAGCATGGGATATCATCCGTACTGTACTGTACGCCACAGCCCTTGGGCGATTGATTGGCGGGGCGGGTGACGAGTATTTGCTTGGCGAGGATGTATGTGAACGATGAGCAAAAAAGGTTATGACAAGAGTGGGATTCGAACCCACGCCATCAAACGATGATCAGGAAGCTTTGGAGAAGCTGGGTGTTAAGGTAACCTTAACCTGACGCCTTAGACCAACTCGGCCATCTTGCCT